CCTGATGATCTGCCAGCCTTGGCCCCCAAAACTTTTTTTTTTTTTTTGAGACAGGGTCTAATTCTGTTGCCTAGGCTAGAATGCAGTGGCACAATCATGGCTTACTGTAACCTCAAACTCCTAGGTTCAAATGATCCTCCTGCCTCAGCCTCCTGAGTACCTGGAACTATAGGCATACAGTACCACCAAATTTGGCTAATTTTTCTTTTTACTTTTTTTTGTAGAGGAGGGCTCTTGTTAACGTTAGCCAGGCTTGTCTCAAACTCCTAGCCCCAAGCAATCCTCATGCCTCAACTTCCCAAACTGCTGGGATTACAAGGAGTGAGCCACCTTGCCTGCCATTTAAAATTTTTGAATACGATTTAGCATCTTTCATTTCTATTGACCACTTCTTTACTATACATTTTCATATATGTTGCCCATTTTTCTGCTGGTGCTTTGGTTGTCTTATTGGTTTGTAAAGTATCTTTTGGATATGAAGAAAATGAATCTAGTTATTAGTCAAATTATGGCAACTAATTTTTCCATGTCTGTATCATTTTATTCACTGAAGTTCTTGAATTGGATATTAAATATATCTCAACTTCTAGATTTCATGTTCTCCTTAGAAGATCTTCATTACTCCAAGTAATCCAGGCTTTCTTTCACAACTTTTTTTTGAGAGAGTCTCACTCTATCACCTAGGATGGTGTACAGTGGCATGATCTCGGCTTGCTGCAACCTCTGCTTTTCCAGTTCAAGTGATTCTCCTGCCTCAGCCTCCAAAGTAGCTGTGCCACCATGCCCAGCTAATTTTTATATTTTAAGTAGAGACAAGGTTTTGCTACATTGGCCAGGCTGGTCTCAAACCTCTGGCCTCAAGTAACCTGCCTGCCTCAGCCTCCCAAAGTGCTGGGATTACAGGCCCTTCCATAATTTTTATGGTTTCATTTATCACCTATACTGTAATCTTTCAGGAATATCAGTATAAAAAGTGAGGCAAAGATAAGAGACTGCCAACATCACTGATTAATGAACTCTGTTTTCATCAGTTGCAGCATAATCTAAATACCCATGCACATTTGCATTGATTTCTGCACTCCATTCTTTTCCACAAAAATCCTAGTATTTCTTCTCTAGTACTAGCCTATTTTAACCTACTGCAGCATCGGAATATGTTTCATCATCTAGTAGAGCCTTCCCCCTCTAAAGGGAATTGTTACAGTTCTCCTGGCCCTCTCATTTTTCTCAGGTAAACTTCAGTGTATTCTCCCCCAAAATCCTGTTGGTGTTTTATGGTGGATGATGTACCCATAGGATGAGACATATAGTTATTAAAAATAGGCTGGGTGGCCAGGCACAGTGGCTCATGCCTATAATCCCAGCATTTTGGGAGGCTGAGGTGGGCAGATCACTTGAAATCAGGGGTTTGAGACCAGCCTGGCCAACATGGCGAAACCCCATCTCTATAAAAATACAAAAATTAGTCTGGCATGGTGGCATATGCCTGTAGTCCCAGCTACTCGGGAGGCTGAGGCAGAAGAATCACTTGAACCCAGGAGGTGGAGGTTGTAGTGAGCTGAGACTATACCACTGCACTCCAGCCTGGGCGACAAGAGAGAAGCTCCATCTCAAAAAATACATAAATAAATAAATAAATATTTAAGGTTCAGAATAGTATTAATTTTGAGCTTTTAGTGGTATTTAGATGGAAAGAGTAAAAATTAAACAGCGTATGTATGTCAGGTACCTATGTCAGCGGAGGTAAGACATGCAAATTATTAGACTATAGGGAGATAAATGCAATCGTGGAAGGTATCAAGGCCCCGTACAGCAGGAGGTCATTAACTAGCTGTCTGGAGGAAATGACAGACAGGACACAACAAGAGCTATCTTAATTTTAAATACTCGACATCTTATTCGAAATTGAATCTTGACTTTGTAAGAACTTGGTATCTTCCAATTTACTTACAACATTTTTCTTTTTCTTTTTCTTTTTTTTTTTTTTTTTGAAACAGAGTTAGCTCTTGTTGGCCAGGTTCGCGTGCAATGGTGTGATATTGGCTCACCGCAACCTCTGCCTCCCAGGTTCAAGCAATTCTCCTATCTCAGCCTCCTGAGTAGCTGGGACTAGAGGCGCATGTCACCATGCCTGGCTAATTTTTGTATTTTTAGTAGAGATGGGGTTTCATCATATTGGTCAGGCTGGTCTCAAACTCCTGACCTACGGCAAACAACTCGCCTTAGCCTCCCAAAGTGCTGGGATTACAAGTGTGAGCCATCACACCCTGTCTTACTTAGAACTTTTTGCAAACCTTAAAGTATTAAAATTTTCTTCATATAGATGTTTATTATTTCTTACACCTAAGTATTTTACATCTAAGTATTACATCTATACTTATAGATGTACTTACAACATACTTACAATTTTGTTTTAAATTTTTTAATATTTTTCTTTTTGAGATGGGGTTTTACTATGTTGCCCAGGCTGGTCTTAAACTTCTGGGTTCAAGCTGTCCTCCCACTTCAGCCTCCCAAAGTGCTGAGATCATAGGCATGAGCCACTTCACCCTGCCTGATTATTATTATTCATAGGCTGTTTACTTCCACCAATTTTCTTTTTTTTTTTTTTTTTCAGACGGAGTTTCGCTCTTGTTACCCAGGCTGGAGTGCAATGGCGCCATCTCGGCTCACCACAACCTCCGTCTCCTGCGTTCAAGCAATTCTCCTGCCTCAGCCTCCCGAGTAGCTGGGACTACAGGCGTATGCCACCATGCCCAGCTAATTTTTGTATTTTTAGTAGAGACGGGGTTTCACCATGTTGACCAGGATGGTCTCGATCTCTTGACCTCGTGATCCACCCGCCTCGGCCTCCCAAAGTGCTGGGATTACAAGCGTGAGCCACCGAGCCCGGCACTTCCACCAATTTTCTAACTGGTTTTGTTTGCATAAGAAAAAAACTAACAATTCTTGGGTATTAAGGTTAGAACTAGCTAATTTACTGAATCCTTACTGTGTCTCAGTTTTTTGGTGAATTTCAGTTTCCACAATATAAAAGATCACTTGCAAAAAATTTTGCCTTCTCTTTTATAATATGTATAATTCTTTCTTCTTATTGAACCGACAAATACTTCCTGAACAAAATTAAATTACAATAAGATTATAATAAATTACAACTATTATAATCTTTATAATTACATATATATAAAATTATAGTTCTTATATTTTTCTTGACACTTGTGGGAACTCTCCTAGAGATTACCATTAAGCTGGCTTTTTGCTTTAAACAGGAAGTTCTTGTCATCTGAGTGTTTATAATCCAAGTCCTAGCAGTTTTCAAGTTTACACAGGGAAACAAATCAAGACACAAAAATGTTCACTTATCAGCTGAGCCACACAAGACTTATTCCCACTCAAGTATTCCTCCTCCCTGTTTATCATCTACCCTTGCCCTACTGTACGACTGTTTTGTAAACATGAAGGAGGCCTATTACATAATTTTATCTCACAAATTATGCCAAAAACCCCAAGAGTTCAATCTATATTCAAAGAATTAGTATAACTGCAACTATAACTTAAGCTCCTGCCCCCAACTATTAACTACGAAATTGTGCTTCCCATTAAAAATAGATTCCAGGCTGGGTGTGGTAGCTTATACCTGTAATCCCAGCACTTTGGGAGGCCAAGGCAGGCAGATCACTTGAGGTCAGGAGTTCAAGACCAGCTGGGTCAACATGGAAAAACTTTTATCTGTACTAAAAATATGAGAATTAGCCAGCCGTGATGGCGCGTGCCTGTAATCCCAGCTACTCAGGAGGCTGAGGCAGGAAAATCACCTGAACCCAGGAAGCAAGGTTGCAGTGAGCTGAGATTGCACCACTGTACTCCAACTTGGGTGACAGAGCAAGACTCCATCTCAAAAATAAACAAAATAAAAAATAGAAATGGATTCCATTTTTCTAGTCAACTGGTAAGGGTCTCGTAGAGAATTTTCAAACATGGGAAGGAAACATACACTTCTTCTTCTTGTACTGAAGTTCAATCACCTCCACACCTTCCCACCACCAATAACTCAAGAGTCTATCTTCAACTTTGGTCAAATGCTTTTAGGGAAGCTCCTGAGATGATCATACAAACACTGGAGACAGAGTCAGTGTAATATTTAAGAGTACAGCCTCTGGAACCTACTAATTACCTGGGTTTAAATCCTAGCTCCACCACACATGTACTATGGGAACTTTGACTAGTCAATCTATAGTTTATTTTCTTTATAAAACACGACTATTAACTACCTCATAGACTAGCTCAATTAACTGAGCTAATACCATAGAAAGCACACGGGAGAGCAGTCTAGTGTACAGTAGGTACTCAACAAGGGCAAGCTATTATTATTATTACTCTTTTCTGATGTATTTGTTTGGTGTATTACGTTAGCATATTTCTTGGTGATTACTCACCTTTGCAACATGAGGATAAATGCTACTTAGCTGTGGTGAAATATTCTTTTAGTATACTGCTAATTTCCATTTGCTAATATTTTAAAATGTCATATTACTGTTCATAACAGATCATGTTGTCATTTTTTTTTTTTTCTTTTTTTGTAAGACAGGGTCTCACTCTGTCACCTACGCTGGAGTGTAGTGGTACAATCATGGCTCACTGCAGCCTCAACCTCCCAGACTCAAGCAATCCTCCCAGCTGGGACCACACACGTGTGCCACATGCCTGGCTAGTTTTTCACTTTTTTGTAGAGACAGGGTTTCCCTGTGTTGCCCAGGCTGGTCTGGAACTCCTTGGCTCAAGCAATCCTCCCACCTCAGCCTCCCAAAGTGTTGGGATTATGAGCATAAGCCATGACACTCAAGTAAGTTTTTAGTTTTAATTCTATCTTCACATCAAGTGCCAGTGTCAATGTTCCACTGGCTTTGTAAAAAGAATATGTGATTTCCCCATCAATATACTGTGTAACAATTTAAATCTTATAAAACTATCTGTTCCTTGAAGTTTAAAAAAGAGTTTACCTGTAATACCATCTGAGCCTGGAGTTTGGCAGGATGATAGCTTTTTGATAATGTTCCCAATTTCTTCCATTGTTTTTGTTCTATTATGTTCTCTCTTCTGGAGTCAATTTTGATAAATGGATTTCCTTTAAAAAAAAAAAAAAAAAA